TTAAAATGTATTAAGCTCTTAATTTTAGTCAAAAATTTCTCAGAACCTGATTTTCCTAGAAACACTCCCATATAGTAGTTTTTTTAGCTTTATATTAATCATTTTCTTTATTATTTTATTTAAAATTATGCTTTATATTCATATTTTGCTTATTATCTGTATTTGATAAAATAAAACTAATTTTTAATCAGAAATTTACAATATTAAAAGTTCAACTTAATTTTATATTTTAATAACAAATTTAATAGCATTATAAATTAAAATAAGTATTAATAGTTGTATTTAATTATTATAAAAGGTCATATGCATTAACTCAATTTTTTACTAATAACTATTATATTTGGCCTTAATTTTAAATTCTAATTAACAAATTAATAAATGTATAATATTCAATTTAAAAGAATTAATAATTTACTGGTCTAAAGATTGTAAATAAAAAGTTATATTAAGTGATTAAATAATAAATTTCAATATTATTAAAGATAGGTAATTTATTCTGATTACTATATATTAGAGTATTATTAACTAATAATAAAATTTCTTATGATAAATATACATTAATTTGTTTAAATTTTTAAAAATCAAGCCAAATAGATTTTGTATTAAAAATAGATTTATTCTTAAATTTATTTTAACCTGTAATATCACATTTAATAAAAAAGTTACTCTATTTTTTGATTTCTTAGTTCAAGTTACAGATTCTTAGGCAAGAGCTTTTCATTGTTCCATTTGCCAAAATAATGCTAAAATAAATAAAATAATTCGTTTAGTCAACAACATAATAATAATTTATAACTGTTCGGAACGATCTTAACTAAAAATAATTCAAACTGGTCTAGACTTTTATGCAATTACAAAAGCCTATCAGCATCGACTCAATTATTGAAACGTTTCGCCCAGAGAATTTTTCTATGATCCGAAACTATCCGAAACCTCTGAAACCCTAGATTTTGCAGAGCAATTTGGCGAAACTAGTTTCGCCCGAAACACTATTTTCGTCATAGAGCCTAGACCATCGCTACGCTCCGGACTAATAACCATAACGATTCCCTGTTTCATCATAATTGTAAACATCATCTAATGCATATTCAGTTAATTATTTTAACGATTGTTCATCATTTGTTCACTAGCAAGCTTCGTGACTTGTTACATTATTTCTTTTTTTAAAAAATTAGTTAACCAATCTGCATAAGCAGTAAATTCAATGTTACCAAATCTGTCTGCAATAAGACATCATTACATAATGTTTGTTTTGCGGTTAAAGATTGAGAAATTCAGATACTAAGCGTCTCACTTATAAATGGGTTGTCTAATCCAATTTTGAACTAGAAATGGATAATATTCCATTTCACTCTTAAAATATCGCTAGGCTTTGTATTATAAAAATTAGCCAGTTTTTTTTGGCAAAAGCTCGCCGCTTTTGAGATATAGATAAGGTAAAATGTTTGCTTTTAGTAAGACATGGTAGAATGGTATATTTTATGTCAGAAAAAAAATTTTTTAATTTTTTTATTTAACAAACATTTGTTATTTAATGAAGAATGGGAAAAAAAAATTTATAGAGAAAAATCGGTACCGGTTTATCGCGAATAAATACATATGACTGGTTTTAAGATCAGTATATAATATCGCGAAATTAATTAGGAAAAGTTCTCATTATATCGGTATAATAATATATAATTGATTATTTGAGTTTATAATTATTTATATTAAAAGTTACTTTAATTACTTATTTATTGTGATAATTGCATTCTAATATGGACATATCCGAATCAATAATGTCTTTTCGAAAATTTTTTTCAGAGTTCAAGCCGATTTTCCTTTATTTGAAACACGGTAAATTATTAATAATTATTGGCAGTTCTTATTCAAGTAATAATTAATTTGTTTTCAATTCTAAAACTTTTTTTTAGTGTAGCGTAATATCACTTAGATTACGTAAAATTATTCCGTAATTAAGTAGGATTTTAGTGTAGCGTAATATCACTTAAGGTTACGTAAAATTATTTCATTAAGTAGATCATTTATCGAATCACCTGTAATCTAAAAAATTAATTTTATTAAATCATACTATTCTGTATACATTCGCGGTATTTTCGCGCATAGTAATTCGATTAAAAAATTAAAAATTTATATATATAAGACATAAATGTACACATAAATCTCAACGACTCAACCATGGATTCAACTAATAATGAGCAAAATAATTATTACAATCCTCCACAAACAGATCACCCTTTCAATCGTTATTGTAAACTTCCTGATACTCCTGAATCTAGAAACATGTCATGGGTTCCAATGAGCAAAATCTAAAATTTCAACAAAATTTTAATGCTCATTATATACGTAATTGATTTTGCTGATTTAATTCATTGTCACTCGATAAATTTTTTTACGAATCTATTTTTATTAATTTTATCTTTAGATATCATTCAGGAACAAAATTTGGATTATCAACGTAAATGATTTGGCTGATAATCTTATGTTTAAATTCATTGCACTCGATAAATTTTTTACGAATCTACTTTTGTTAACTGAAAACCTGATAGAAAGGACTCGATGGGATGAAGAAGACATTAAAAAACTACTCACTTTTTGAAAGGTCGTACGGATGACCTAAAACGACTAATAAAGGAACGTGGTGGTTGTGGTAATAATGTTAAATCAATGCTCTGGGAAGATGCCTCAAACGCTTTATCCAAAAAATATCTTCCTAAGCAATGTGATGATAAGTGGAAAAATATTAAACGAACTTACAAGGTAGAAATTAATTTTCTTTATAAAATTGAAAGAAATGTTATTCATTATTTAATTAATTATTTCAATTTAGCTTCAACCTGAAATTAAGTTTAATAAAGAAGTTAAAGAAATTCTTGAGTTATTACGTTAAGTTGAGGTTGGAACCGGGTTGGAGTAATTCGGTTTAAACCGTTGCAACTTGCAACATAAAACCCGTTTCTTATTTTTTCAGATTCGAGAACCGGTTTTAATAAAATCGGTTCATGAAACCGGGTAATATTATTAAACAAGCTCTGATGTTTATGTATGTAATCGTAGCAACGGCGTTAAAAATTTAGCTTTTTGTTTTTTTTTTTTTTTTTGTTATAATGACATTCTTCAAATTTTATTTTGACGAACCAATTTTATAAATTTTTTTTTTTTTTTTTTGAGGCAATTATGAATTGTTACATACTTTCGAATTTGACAATTTTTTGTACAATTTCAAAATGTAGATTTTCATATTGTCCCTCAAGATATATAATTTTTTTTTATTTCACATTTTAAACATGTAATAATAGTTTAATATTTTTCTTTTAAAAATTAAATAAAAATAAAAGAAAGATAATATTTTGTTAACGTTTATATTACATTAAAAAATTAATCGCAATTCAATTTTTCGTTTTTTTTTAAATTCGGTTTTAATCCGGGTCCCGGTTTGTGAATACTACCGGTTCCAATCTCTACGTTGAGCTTAGTTTCTAAATATTGGTTGAAGTTTTTTTTTTTTTAGTTTTTGTAAAAATTGTTCGCCAGCAAAAAATTACTAAATATTTTTAATTCGACATTACATAATACATATACAGCAGGTAATAAAGGTGACATTATATAATGTAATATAAAAAATTTGTGTGTATGTTCATTTGATATGCTGTTAATATATCAACATATTATTGGTACATGGCAATATCTATGTATTTTATTATTTAACTTTTTGATTCTTACTATTCCATTATTCAATATCGTCAAAATCCAAAAAAAAAGGAAATTTGTCTAGTGCAATGTCTAAACCTTGTCATTTTATTCACATTCTAATTTACTTTTTCGTCACGTTAACCTTTTCATCGATTCATCCCTAATTTTCGGTCCGTATATTACTATTGTATTGCAGATGAAAGAGATTACATAATATAGGAAAGACACGCCTAACAAATAGATGTGTATCGGTCTAAATAAATTTATTATACACGCCAGATTAATTTTTTCATTGCTAACCGGATTACAAATCATGATTATAAATCATAAAGGAATTGCGGTTCCCGAACGGGTATATGTATGGATTTTTATGTATGGATTTTCTAAAATAAAATTTAAATTTTTAAATTTGTGCATTTTTTGACGCTATTCTTCCGTTATATGGATTGCTAGGAAAATCAGGTTCCGGGAATTTTTTAACAAATTGAGATTTTTATTGCATTTTAGTTTTTGATGTTATTAGATTAAAATGTATTAAGCTCTTAATTTAAGTCAAAAATTTCTCGGAACCTAATTTTCCTAGAAACCCTCCCATATTATAATTATATTATTTGTTTTGTGCGATTCTAATGAATTTTTCATTCGAATATTTAAACCTTCAGCAAATTGATATTACATCCTTTAAATTGGTGGGATGTAAACAAAAGCAGCTTATATATTTTATCTCAACTTGCACAAATATATCTATCCATTCCTGCAACTTCAGTATTTAGCGAAACATCGTTTTCAGACATAAGTTATTATAAATATTTCAGCAAAAGCACTCAATTATCTCCGGATCTGGTGAATCAATTTTCATTTTTTAATTTTTATCTATCATTTTAAACATGCAATTAGCTTATATTTATTTTTTAATAAAAATTAAATAAAGTCATAAAAAAAATATTTTGTTATATTATAAGTCTTGTCGCAATTCGGTTTTTCGGGTTTATTACAACCGAATGCTCGGTCTAATCGGTTTTATTTAAACTCGGTTTAAATCCCAGTCTCAAATTAAAAAAGTGATTAAAACCGGTTTGTGAAAATAAAACCGGTTCCAACCTCTACTTGAAATCCCACGCGGTGTAATCACAAATTCTAATCACGATTTTATTCTGTTTTATTTTTTTTTTTATTTTTATATATGATCAAACAATATTAATGCAGAAAATAGTTGCTACATACTATAAAAGACGTGATATGTTACGATTTTGTAAATTTGATAATTTTTAATCGAATATATTATTTTGGTATTTTAATTTAAAGTTATTGTCCGAGCGAAGCGTACTTTTAGGAAATGTGAAAAATTTAATCACGTGAGATTTCCGTGTGTCACGCCGCGTGTACGATAAGATCAGTAAATAAAAAAAAAATAAAAACAAAAAAATAAAAAAAACATTTATTATATTTATTGATTTAAATAAATAATTTCACTCCGGACTTAAATGGTTTCCATTTCCTAGTGATATAGAATCCTATGAGATGTATTACAATTAGTCATCTTTTTTAGTATGCCACCGGCTTGAATTGTTTAACCAAAAAAATAAAGCTTTTATGTAACAGGACTGCCATAATCAGAATGAAACATTGGGGTGATCAGTCAACTAATTAAATCAAAGCTATATGGTATCATGTAAAAGTTTATTATTGAAACTTTTTCCGCCGCATTAAGCTAGTATTAAGCTATAGTTACTATAATTTAAAATTTATCTTATAGTCTCTTACTAAATCGATGTATTTTTTATTCTTTAATAACTTTGAATCTTTCTTAAAATTCCCATTTCAAATTCTGCAAAAGTGTTCTAAATAATTGTCTCTTTTATGAAATAGCTTGCTTTTTTTTTAAAAAAAAAAAAAATATATCGCATCTCTACAATAATAAATTAATACTTTTTAGCATAACTATGTAGGAAATTTTTTTTATTTTCGAAAAACGCAGTATTTCAAGTTTCTTTAAGTTATGATATATTCGTTTAAATTTTAACATTACTTCAAAGCTAAGTTATTAAAATTTTAAGATTTCGGATATTTTAGTGGGAAAATGCCCTATTACCTTGGCTTCATTTACCATTGGTTGTTTGTCGCCTTGGTGGTAATAATGATCTTTTGCTTCTAGTTTTCATCATGTAATTTTAAAAAAAAAAACCCTGGATTAAGCCACCAATGGACTTAGAATTGCGGTTTGCAAAAGAATTAGAAGATGATCTAAAAAATGGAATAACTGATGACTTTGGATTGCATGAGTTGCTATTACAAAATAGCAATTTTCTTAGAGAATTCGAACAATTCTGTAAAGACGATAATTCATTTATATATAATTTTCCAGATTTATATAACTTCGTTAAGACTCGGATTTATTTTATTATTATTCACCAACAGCAAGTAGAAGGCCTTTTTAATAAATTAGACCTTCATCCCAACATGACAATATCAATGAAACAATCTAAACTTCAATTATCCACAAATAAAATTGCCAAAGAAGAATTACTCGGATGGATTAAAAGAAATAAAAGCAAAACGAAATGCATTAAAAAAAATTTCCACTCCAAGAAATTCAATTGCAACAATTCGGATCTGACGTTGCTTCAAATATGTTTCATGAATTATTACTTTAAATATGCTGTATATTTTTTAATAAAATATTATTTAATTTACCCTAATTAAAACCGAATCAAAGATCTACACGAAAAAGTATAAAAAAAATTCAATAATAAACTTTTATATGATACCATATATAGTTTTGATTTAATTAGTTGACTTACCACCCCAATGAGACGTGTTAAAATCATTGTTTATGATATCACTGCATTGATTATTATTATATACTAAATATGGGGTAAGATCGTAAATATTAATTAGATTTATTAGGTAAACATTTTTTAATAAACTAATTGTTCAATTTTTAGACAAAAAAAAAAAATTTGTACGCCCCGGGTGTTAATTTCGAAAAAAAAACTTGTCTAAATGATAATAATTTAATTTACTTAAATCATGAACTACATTCCTTTCAATTTTTTTTTTATTAAAGAAAATAATTTTACCTTGTAAGGTTGCTTAATAATTTTCCAATTAATATCACATTGTTTAGGAAGATATTTGTTGGATAAACTTCCGCAAATATCCAGAGCTTTGTTTTAACATCACCACTACCACAATCTTCTTTATTAATTATTTAGTACATCCTTATGATTTCTTCTTCGGTCCATCGAGCTGTCTTTTTAATCCTTTTTTTCATTTTTTGTTCATTAGAAAGTTCCGTATTAATGTTTGGTTTCTCTGCAGTAAAAATCTAAAGAAAAAGTAGATTCGTAAAACTGATATTCGGTGCCAATGAATTTGATCAGCAAATCAATTACCTTAAAAATAAAGGTATCTCCATAGAAACCTATCAAGTTTTCGTGTGTACATTGGTTTTGACAATAAGAAACGAAAGTGGGAATTTGGCAGATGTTTGAAACTTGAGGTTGAGTTGGATCCATGGTTGAGATTTTGAGAGTTATCGTTTATCCTATATAATTGCCAAAAATATGATTCGATTTTCTGGATCTCACTTTACTTTTGGCTTTATAATGCATAAAGCCAAAAAATATGGAAGGATGTAAGAACTTTTTTTTTACCGTTGTAAAAAAAAAATTTCAGTTTTTTTTTACTAAAATTTTATCACGTGATTTTCTTGTTTTTATATTGCTCTTTAATAAAAACGTGGAGTTTTATAATGTATAAAAAGTACAACTGATTTTCACGATGATAATACGATTTTTTGATTATATAATTTTTTTTAGAAAATAAATAAATCAGCATTATGGCATTTCACTTTATGTTCTCTTGTGAAACTGAGTATCCGAGATTTTGATTCAAAAAATCTAAAATTATATTTTGGAAATGATTGACACACATAATTGAAACATTATTGTTATATTAAATAAGCAGTGTAACATTTTTTTTGATAATTATTTGTAAGGTGATTTATTTTATTATCTATAATTAGAATTCTTTTTAATTTTACAGATTTTTCGGTTTAATCTTAAGTAGAAATAATTGATTTACTGCACATCTTTTAGTTTTCTTTAAACTTCTTTTTGTCTCTTTAGTTTTTCTTTATTTTTTTTCACATTATTAAACTGATTATTTTGAAACTTTTGTAATATTTATGAACTAATTAAATTTATAACTTATAAATAGTATATTTGATCATCATATTTATAATTAAATTGTATTTTTATATTATTATTAATTTATACCTATTAATTTAATTTAGAATATTTATAAATAAACTTAATAGATAAATTAAATTAATCATATAATTTAATAAGTTTAAATCTGTTATATTTAGATATATTAAAAAGTCTCATAAAATTAGATTTTAAACAGTTCTATAAAATCCAGTCTAGTTTAAAGTCTTTGAACTATAAGACTATGAACCTATATTAAATAGGACTTGCAATTCAAGAACTACAGTCTTAATAATACTGTATATAAAATTCAGTTTACTAAAAACATTATAGATTATAAAGATTTTAATTAAATAATAAAAGACTATTCTTTATAAATGATGATATTTTATTTAATTAGAATGATAAAAAATCATTTATGAAGAATGATTTTTTATTTATCATTTCAGTTAAATGATTCTTCATTATTCTTTTTAAACTATCTTTTTTGATCATTCAAGTCAATTAATTTCTCATCATTTTTTTGAACAACTTTATTTTATTATTCAAGTCAAACAATTTTTTATTATTTTAGTTAAACAGTATATTATCATTTATAAAGAACAGTTTTTTATTATTTAACAAGAATATTTATTATCTATAATATTTTTAGTAGACTATATTCATATATTTTTAAAATCATACATTAATCACAATATTTTTAAATTTTTTATTTTACAATATATTTTTACATTTATAAAAAGAGATTTGTTTAATATAATTTATTATAAATTATACAATTTTTATATGCTAATAAGAGACAAGTTATATTATACTATTCTTATAAAAAAATTGTCAATAACTATGTAAAATATTTAAAATTTAATGATAAAACAAATATAGCTTTATAGCAATATTTTATATCTAATATTTATCAAAAAATATTTAATTATTATTTAATAGCTATTATTATATTTGTAAAATTATCATATTATTTTAACTTCTAAGATTAATAGATTTTAAAAATAGTTAATAGGTTTGAAATAGTATTTATTACTATTTTTTTCGAATTTGAGTTAAAAAAATTTTTGATCTTTTATATTGAATAATTATATAATACCGTTTTGATAAAAATATAGTGATTATATGATTTCAAAAAAGCATATATATATTGAATTTTATATATTATTAAGATTAGCCTTAGCATCGTAAGTTTTAATTCTATAAGATTATAATCTTAGAACTGTAGTTTCAGTATCTAGTCTTAGAATTCAGTTTTAGGATCTAAGTACTATAGACTAGATCTTTTTTAGAACTTGAGTTTTAGAATTAAACTGAATTTAACATTTCTAATTATATTAATCCATTAATAATTTGAAATTTTAAAAATATTTACTTTATAGTTTATTATATAAAAGTTTAATTTGCAATTAATGTACTTTTTACCTTATTATATTTGATTAATAACTTTCAAAAAATATTTAGTAAAATATTATTAATTAACAAATATAGTTATTATAAAATAGATGTAATAATATAATAAGCAAGTGTATATAATAATGTAAATATTTTCTTACATAGATTAGTAATGAACTTAATAAGGAAGAATGAAAAAATGGTAATAATATTAAAGAAAAATAGAAGAAAGATATAATAAATCAATATTATCAGGTATCAATATAAAGTAAAAATATCATTTTTGATTTATGTAACAGCAAGTTCACTGCATTAAATATCACATTTTAATTGATACCAGTACTGTATAATGATTATTTATATTATGCATTAGTGTAACAATTAGACCAAGTATATCAAAAAAAGATACATTTGCCAATATAAAACCTTTTTTAGATTAAAATTAAAAAATTAAAAGGTAATTTGATTAAGTAATATTAAGATATTCAAATTAAAACTATATATATCAATCATATTTTTTAATTTTATAAATTTATTTTAATAATAATTTTTTATAATATAATTTTAAAGATTTTAAACTATAACTGCTTTTTTATTTTTGGTTTTAAAATTTTAATAATAGAATTATAAATAACTGCATAATTATTTTAATTTCCAGTGTTATGCATTTAGTTAGTTAGCCGTTTATGACTAAATAATATAATTATATTATTTAGTCATAAACGGCTTAGAATAGGTTATTTAGTAATAAA